CTTCATTCTTCATTTTAGTTTTTTTCCCCCAAAGTTGAAGGATTACCTGGAATTCCCTGTGGGGATTTTGACTCCGGATCTCATATTACCTCTTTGTTGCAGTACACTCAAGACAGGTCAGGTCACTCAGACACAGGCTTCCGCCACCACACTGAATAATTCAGGAGAGGCCATGATGCTGTGTGTGTGTGTGTGTGTGTGTGTGTGTGTGTGTGTTTGAGCAAGCAGACCATGTGGTGTGTGTGTTTGTAGTGTGTATTTTGAGGAATCAAATCAGTAGAGTGTGAGTGTGCAAAGATGGGTGCTAACAGAGTGGTTTCCTCTGTCCTCTTGGAGAAGCCCTGTGGCCCACTTAGGATCAACTTACAGATGTCTGACTGAGAGTGGATGAGTTGAAAACTGACTCAGTGTTTTGGGGATGCTGTTTCCTTACTCCAGTGTTTTGGGTGTAACAGCCAGTGACCTGTTGATTCAGATGAGAGACTCTACATTAGACACTTTGTGCATTTGTCCCTTTTTAGATACGTTACAGCTTATCTGCACGTGCTGAAAAATGTCCTCTTATCTGTAGCATTCAGAGCAGATGAACAAAACATCCAAACAGACCTGCCACTGCTGATCTGTTATCATAATAATACCACCACTCTGATGTGTGGGTGGATGATTTACATAGTGCCAGAGCTGCTGTCATAGTCTGCGTGCTGATATACATTCAGAATGTGTATAAATGTGACTCACTACACTCAATGCATCATCCTCCTCCTCGTAAGGATTTCCTGTGAATACATGCCCTTGCTGAGTGTGAAAATATGGGTCAGTAATGTATCCTGCAAACACATAAAGTGGGATGGGGTAATGTGATGTGTGACTTTGTGTTGTTTAAAATTGTCTAAATTTACTGTTCAAGCTGTTCTCCGAGTGCCAACCTGTCTGCAAGTGATCATGGTTATAGCTGAGCTGTTTGCTATAGTTCAGTGCCGTTTCGGGTTGCAATGACGTCAGTTCTCCAATCGCCAGTGACATAAGGCTCTGGAGTTACACTGCCCAGGTACAGAGGGTGCACCTATACATCTCAATGTCATGAATAATGGCTGAAGGGTTGAAGTCAGGATAATGCAGCGTGTAAAGTTTTTCTCTTTTTAAAGTATATTTATACAGGGGAAGTATTTTCACAAGCCATTTTTGGCTTCAAACCTCTCCAATTCTGTTGTCTTTTATATATATATATATATATATATATACAAATAAAAAATAATAATAAATGAATAAATCCCAGTCTATTTTGCTCACCCATTAAATCACTCACCAAATGAAATGGTTTTAATACTAAAATTGAAAAAACACACGATCTCTGCAGTTCTGATGAGTGTTTTAGCCTCTTTTACCTCAATAGTTTGTGTATCCTGCATATTTACTGCATGATTCAGTCTCATTAACCTCTGCTCTTTTCAACAAAAAAGCTCCAATAAGCACACTGTACTCTACCCACACACTGCCAAATGGCAGGCAGACAAAGCTGGCAATTGATTGGTTAACATAGTCAATTATCCAGCACTGAAGACCCCAAATACTTGGTTTAAACTAAACCAGAAGGACAGTATGTAGTATGTGTACAGTGTATCAGTGTAAGCTGTTGATATAGAGGTAGCTGTGAATTTGTCCGCTGGTGTTTATGTTTGTAGGCTTCATAGTGGGCAAAAATTGTTCAATGTATATAATGATTATTGTAGCTTTAAGGGAACATTTGGTATTTTGACAAAGATTATGTTTGTTTGCTGCCTTACCCAGAGTGAGATAAGATTTCAGGAAGAGGTCCAGCACTTGTTTAAGCTACTATGGCACAATAATTTAAAGTAAGATAACAGCCTAGCGCTGTCAAAAGCAGAACAGACATATGGAACTATCTCTGTACTGTACTGTAGACACAAAACTTAAATATATGCTTGTTTGCCATTTTAAATGTGCTGTGTTCTTTCAAAATGGCAGATCAGCAAACATACTTCTGCACTCGTCACAAAATAATGCACAAGGAGAGGAACAGTAGTTTATTACATTTCTCCCCACAATATGTGAGTTTTTATCCAACATCTAAGTCCAGAAACAGGCAGATTAAGGACTCTTTATGTACAGTGTATAATTTTTTGGTTGAGGAACAGTTAAAAAGTCTGGACCACCTAGAAAAGGTTCTGAAAAAATATGTTATCCACTACATTTATGGCTTAAACTTGATTAAATTATTTTGCATCTCTACCATGTCTTTCTCAGGCACTCCCTAATCTAGATCACCCCACTCTTTTCTCTCCCATTTCTGTGCAGTATATCACCAATTTTATCCCACAGCCAACGACCCCTCCACCCTTTCTCTTGCTTTTCCTTCTGTGTCACAGTGGAGAGTGAATAATTCATGTCCGGGCTGCTTGCTGGTGGAGATGAATCATGTGAGAAGAGCAGGATACACGTGCTAGTCTCAGAGCGACTCTCTAAGGATCCTAGGACAGTGTAGGGGGGAGCCACTGTGCTCCTCCACTGCTTATTGTACAGTCTGCTACTACTACTCCTCCCTGGATGCATAACATTACCATCCCAGCTTTCATGACAGTCACATGTGAGCGCTGCCTTCAAAGGCCAGGCATGGAGTCATCCACAGAGACCACGCAGTACCTTGTCACTATATATCTATATACTGTATCCACAGTGTATGACGTGAATCATGAATTTTACATTTTTATATTTAGTTAAAGCCCCTGCAAGGAACTTTTTGTGTTGATTCCGGTGGCCACTGTGGTTGTTTCTTAACAAGTTGTTGTAAATCACTTTCACGTTTAACATTTGAAGTGGTTTTAAATTTAATTGTTAATTGAACAAGAATAAACATCCCAGTCCCAGGTCAAGACCAACAAGTCCAAAGTCAAGTCCAAGGCCAAAACCTTGATTTTTCTGGTCCCAAACAAGTCGTAATGAAATTAGGGACATTGGCAACGTTAGGCTTTACGGCTGGCTCCAATGACAGATTGCTAACATTAGAAACTGCTGATTGTTGACCAAATCTTCGATAAACTGCTTTATCTTTTTCACAACCATATTCCATGAAGACCTGCCCCTATGCTGCCAAGATTTGGTTGCCTAAGTCTTTTAAAGACAACAATTAGCAGTTTCTAATGTGAGCTATCTGTCGCTGGAGTCAGCAAAATAATGTGGATGCAACCATTTTGTTAACATGCTAACAGCGTTCAGGTCTCAGTTAATATTTTTAAAGGGTTCTACCAAACGCTAGCTAATATTAACTTAAGCCATAGCTGGTCAGAGAACATTGTTAGCTTCAACTCAACATTCTTTGTGAAGCCCTAAATGTTGAAAGTCGTGTTATTTCTATAGTTTTTGGGCAGCTTGATTTTGCATGTTGCAGGTTTTTTTGTTGTTGACCACAGCACAGTCATTTTATCCAACAGGGATAATCCGAGGTGTCACCTTTTGTCTGCACTGCCAAGCGCTTGCTGCTGACAGACTGATTCAAAGTACATCCTTAGTCAGTTCATTTATTGCACATTTTTATAACTATAATTTTCTATCTCTTGGCTTTTTGGAGGATAATAAAGTAATTTAAAGGCACAAGTGAAGTCACTGGTCAAATCGAGTCCAGATCATGTAAGTCCACAACTCTGAGGACTACTTATTATCAAATGTAACTTGCAATTAAATCAGCTGTATGCCTGGTATCATTCTCAAACAATGTATTTGGACAATATGTTGACCAGGTTTACATGTTTCATGTGTGAAATACAAAAAGTTTGTTGCTCAGTGTTCTGCAGATTCTGTCCCTTCACTCCCACACACACACTTCTGTCTCTGGAGAACCTCGCTGCCCGACTCTGGCTAAATGTGTCTCTGCATACTTGTGTTTCTGTCAGTTTTCATATACTCCGTGTATATGTGTGTGTACTCCTGAGTGCCTGAGCTCTGCAGTCGGTGTCTTGGTGCACACGTGTATCTCACACGAAAGATCAACATACTGGAGTGTTGATGGACCCAGAGCAACAATTATTCATACAGAGGGACCTATGCAGCTTTCGTGCTGTCACACCGTGTTATCAGACTGCATGGATGAGCAGCCAGCCCTCTGGACTGAAAAGCTTGAGGCATAACGTTTGGCCTGGTTTACAGCGATGCGATGCCTGTGTCTGACTGTAGAGATGCCAATTTAAGGGAATTTGGTATTTGCCAGATGTGCATTAGAAGTATGGCACAGGTGGAATTTACTCTTCAGGTAACTAACAAACAACAAGTAGTCACAGAGATTCAGATTGTGATTTAATTTATAAGATTGCATCTCCCACAACACTGCCTAGTTTTGTACAACTTGGCTTTTCTTTTCATATTGCCGGCTGTCGGTTAGGATTTGATGAACATTGTACTTGCCAAAGTATCTGTAGTGTGGCAACAGATGGGGCGAAAAAAGTTGGTTTTCAGTCGATTATAGAGGTTTTAAAGCAACATCATGTAAGATTTGTATATATGGACAGCTGTACACATGCATTTCGAGTCGACAACTTTACTAACACAGCCAAACATCAAGCAAGTGCAACAACACAATACATTTCAAGCTAGCTAATGAGGCCAGCTCACCGTCTGTCTGCAGCCTTTTAATTCACAAAACTCTCACCAACGACTAAAAGCCAGTCACAGATTTACTCTTTACTCTCTGCGTCTCTTTCCTTTTCTCTTCTTAGCTTCCTCTGTCGTCTTCTTCGGTCTGTTTGCGTCTGCCATTAGCTATGACCATAGCAGCTGCTGAGCCTGGTTGCATTACATTCTCAGTTTTCATTTTTTATATACAGTTATCACACGTGTAAATGATCTTGGTCGAAATAGAGAGCACTTTGATGGCAACAGTTCCAAATGATTCATCATTTAGCTGCTCAGGTAGCGATAGAGTTTTGATGATGGGATGGGTCTTGTGGTAATGCCTTCTAACACTCTTCCTCTCCTCTTTCTTGTCCCAGATTAGTCGCTGCTTGAAGCCTGGAGGACGATTCGTCTCCGTCACCTTCGCCAACCCCTTTTTCAGGAAGCGTCTCTATGCTCGCACCGAGTACAACTGGTCGATTAAGAAGTACACTTATGGAAAAGGCTTTGAATATTTTGTGTATGTAATGACCAAAGGAGAGGAGCTCAGCCCAGAGGATGCAGCTCTGGAGAAAAAGCTACTAGAGGACACCAAATCCCCACCTACCAAGATCGCCACAACACAAAATGTCCCTGAGGAAGACTTCATGTCTAATATTGACTTGTAAAATAACTGGATTATCTAAAGGAATTTTAGAAATACATTATCCCTATAAATAGGCTCTATACTGTGATGACGACTTTTGTAAGAAGTAGCGACAATGTAGTTTTCATTGAGGTCTAGGTATAGATGTTCATAAGACGTCTGCAAGGAAAGATTACAGTGGACTTGTTTTATACTGGATTTTAACTACACAGCAGCAGGGACACTTAATACAAATAAAATCGGTATAATGTCTGATTTTAAATGTCCTTGGTTTCCTGTGTGATTTTATTGTTTCTATGTAGGGATGTGGGACAGTGCCCTCTTCTCTCCGCTTCCCTACTGTGTCAAAGTCAATGCTAACATAACTGCAAAGCTTAAAAAATATTATAATCTTGTGATTTTTGCTGGCTGATGTTAGCTTGCTTGCTAACATAGCAAAATAGCTAGCTTCATCCAGACTCCTGGGGCTGGCTTGCCAATTGCAGGTTAAATCCATGTGTTGAATGCATTCATTTTTCGTTTATACAGCCTCAAGATAACTAGTAGACATAACAACCAGGAAAAAAATCATGCTTGAGACAGATGAAAAGAAAACATGTATTTACATATATAACATTCAGACAAAAAGGTTCTCTAAACATGGGGTAACAGGACAAAATACAAAGCACCATCAACATAAGACAGAACAATGTCAGCAAATCTTTCCCCAGTGATGATTGGGTCCCTCAGATTCAAAATGGTTGATTGATGAATGGTCAGATCTGGAGCTCACAGGCGCAAAGCAATCCGCCAATGGCACACAACACCTTAAAAGCAGTGCCTTCTTCTCTTCTAGTTCTTCTTACAGCAGCATTGTCTGCAATGGCCTAATACAACCAAAGATACTGGAGGGAATTTTGCTTTATTCTACCATGAACATTCTTTTATAAATGTTATTATACGATTATATTGTTTATACAGTTTAATTGTGATTGCTATGGAGTAATTTGTACTCTTAATAACTATGACTCATCTTGGTTCTTCTGTCTGTGTCATAATTTTACGAATCTGCTACTATCAGCGTCTGTTCTATTGCAGTTCACAAATGAAACTTTTAGCTTTTATAAGGAAGTTTTACATCCCAGTGTCCTTAAAATCTGTCTGCCTTTACATCAGAAAAATGTAACAGCCTACCAGTGTTGTGCAATTTGCAAGACAAACTGGCCTGTCTAGACACAGTACATAACAGCAGCACCAGCCTGCATGTAAAGTCAGTGTTCAAGTCTATTAATATGTCAGTCAGAGTCTTCCCTTCTGTTGGGGTTGTCCACATCTGTCCCATATCTGCTTTAGATTCCAGACAAAATTTGCTAATGGAGATATGCAGTGTTTGACACACCTGTCAAGCACGCTGGTGCTACGTGTGGACACATACACATATCCATCCAAGTAATAGCTCACCCCGCACATTATTTGTTGAGGAAACATGAGATCAGTCCCGGGTCCTGTGCTCTCTGCTGCTTAAATATAGACCAGAAAGGGAGATAGAACCAGGCGTGCAGACAGGCAGGAAGGCTGGTGACTGGAGGGGGGACCACATTGATAAAGTAGAAATCATTTATTTTTAATTCTCCACTGAGATCTAATTACCGCCTATTTTTAAGACCGGGGCGGGGGGGGGGAAGGTGTGTGATTTTTCAGATGGCTCTTCCGTTCCACGATTTTTTGCTGGTGTAACGTGGTAGTTTGTTTAACTTTAACTTGTATGTAAACCAGTCTCCCCATGAGGTCTATTCAGTAGCTGTTCTGGAGCTTTTGATCGTACTGAATGATCTTCCTGCGCTGATTTTGCCTAGTTGTCATGGGATTGACTGTTGGCTAAACCCCACAACACGTGTAGCTTACAGTAATAAAGGTCTCAGCTACCTCTTGAAATTCAACAATGAGTCCTTGATTTCATTCAGAGATCAACAAAGGCAGATTTTAGTCCATTATAAGTATAAGAACAGTTACATAACCATGTTTGACTGGTTAGCCTGCTCACTGTTTCAGAGTTTGCTTTCACTTTTAACGTTACAAGAGAAAGGGGTTGTAAGGATGAGGACTAACTTGTGTGTTTTGTTAAAGGTAACTAAGGTATCTCAGGTAACGTTAGTTCGGGTTGCTGGAATAAAGGTACCCATATTCAATAAAGAGCTGCTAATGTTACCCTAAACACTGATAACATCAATAACTGACTTCCATCCATCGGAGAAAACGACTCAGTGAATGTGCTAGTTGCAAAAAGGGACGTTTTTAATGTAACCTGTGACCCCACACACTAATGTAGTGTAATGATGTGCTCTTTGGTAATAATGCTTGATTACTACTGTAGGTGGTTAGCTAGTAACCTGACATGCTAACTAATAGAGCTTACATTAAAGCAAATAAACACACTATTTATTCTAACTACTAGCCTTCTGGTGCTGGAAAGGCCTCTTCCAAACTCCTGACAAAGTAGTATGTTCTTACTACAGCCTTCTGCACACCACTTCAATATATGGCAAAAAACAAAGCTTGACCGGCATGCCGTGCCTACTTACAGTTGTTAAGGCTATGATTAGACCATTGCTGTTTAAGGGAAGGGATTTAGCGAACATTTTGCTTAAAGTTGAGGTTGAATTTTCATCCTTGATTATTAAAAACCACAGCTGACAAAACAATATCACCACAAGATCATTTAAAGTTAAAGAGCTTTTCTGGATCTTTGGATTCCATAATAACTGGAGTCCATCTGCTGAGCAAGAACGTGTGACGTAATTTAAAGCTACTGTTTCTAATCTGTTGTGCTCGGACAAAATAAGTTTAAAATTTCCCTCTTTGTCTTTTATACTGAAAGAAATGTCCCAACTGAGTAAAGTTTGATGTTGATGAGATTGTTTTCTTCACACACACACACACACACACACACACACACACACACACACCTGCACACATATTAAAATGTCTCACTATCAGACAGTGATGGTCTCAATCTCACCCACTCTGTCTCCCCCCCAGACCCTTGCATTGTCTCTGGGTAAACCCCGTTGGCTGTTATCTGGTTGCTATGGTGACGATTGGGTGCAATGCCCTGGCTACATTAACAGGAGGCTTAAAAAAAACAAAAACAGCCTGGCACCTATTTGGCCTGGCTGGGTGAATGACAGGAGGGTGCTTATGTAAGTAGCAGTGAGTTTGATATTGACAATAGAGGCTTAGGGGTGCAGACCAGCCACTGCAGCACTGGGACATAAAAAAACATGATGGATGTAACACTCAGAGTGGATAGATAGAGGTTCGTGGAGAGTTAGTTTTTTCTGCTCTATTTTCCCCCTAAAACATGATGCCATTTTCCTTAGTTTAGTCTTGCTTCCATTTCTGCTCTGTCAATAAATGAATATATTGAAATTCAGCAGTTCTTACATTTGGTTTTCTGCTTCCTTAGTCGGACTGACTGATGTGCAATGGCAGAAACCCCGACAGTGAGATTTAACTTGACTGGAGTTATATAACCGCCGAGCAGGGCACAGGCCTCATGCAGGAGAGGTTTAGTCATCATTTTTTTCTTAAACACAAACCTTTCCGTCTTAATGTGCAGTTTTTTGTTCCTTCAGCTGATTACCTGAGTCATGCAGGTGTCTGCTGAGGCCATGATTTAATATAGAGTGCCGTGTATTTATGTGTGTGTGAGAAAGCAGATCCAGAATTTTCTCTCCTGCTGCTAATTGTCCTCCATGCTTTGTTGCCCAAGGGCAGGAACAACACTAATCTACTGCATGCTCGATGCCTTTCACCCTCTTTGTCTCTGTATTTCTGTCTCTCTTTTACTCTGTCACTCTTCTCACCGCCACCCCCAGCCTGCTCTCTCTGTCTGCATCGATTGGCCCTGAGTGCTTTGGTGTGTGGGTGTTATGTGAAGGCTCATGCGAGTGAAAAGGTCAAATGCATGCTTTAACCAAACATCTCTGGGTTTTATTTGCCACATTGTATGTGTTTGCGTTCAAACCGAATCACGACAAATCACGACTGCCTGTTTGTACCCTGTTGAACTGCCTACTTAACTGCAACTGCACTCGAAGCCTTTTCACTGATTTAAAAAAAGAAAAGAAAAAGGGATTTCTTACAACCAAGGTGCTATTTTTGTAGTTTTGTTATATCTGTAATAAAAACATTCTTCTGACAAAGCTCATTTCTGAGATCTGGGAATGCAGCAACATTATTAAAAACAAGACCAATGGGGCAAGAAACATGAGCTGTCAGACAATTATACAGGTTTTAGACAAACCTCCTGGTAAGTCAAACTTAATTGGAGAATGCAGCAAAGGCAAACAGTAAAGTTATTACCTAATCTGTCATCTGAGACAGTTGGAGACTCTTGATGGACTTCTACGACCTGCAAGGCGAGGGTCCCGTGATTGACTAAAACAGGCAAAGGCATCGTCAGTAGCCTTGCTAGATTGTGTGTTTTTAACTTTTGCCAACTTGTGATTTGAACAATTCATATTCAGTTCAGTTCAAATTGCCTTGTCAAACTTTGTTGCATCCCCAGATCTTGTACCAAGTACCAAGTAATAAAAACTTTAACATGTGGTATGGTGGTATTACAGATGGTAATTATGGCCAGAACTATGAAAATAAAGTTTTGTACTAAAGTACAATTTCCTGCATCCCGTGTAGCCAGTTTTAGTAGACTAGTATAGACCGGATGGGGGACTCACCAGTTAGCCTTGTCAGTGGAAACCCTTCTGCTGAAAGCACTGCCACTACTTTCAACAGCACTGTATATCTGACCATCTACCTTGGGGCAGTATAATGGCATAATATACTGTATGGCAGCCTTATGTAACTGGAGGAGGAATATTAATGGACGTCCACTCAGGACAGGGTGTAAGTGGAATCAGATCAAAGCTCTCTGTCCTCACTGCACACGTTCAGTTTGAATCTAGAACTTGCTCTTAGCTGTGTGCGAGATAACAGCAGAGGGAACAGTACGACAATGGCACTTTATGTCTTGTTTACAGTGGTCTGTCTATGCTGCTGCTTTAGCATTTTGTTTGTTTTGTCATGCATGTTTTTCCATCCAGACTTTACAACAGTGGCTGTCCATTAGCGAGGCATCTACAGCATGTCTGTGTTGACCCCAGCATGGCCTGCACTCCCATCCCATCTGCCAGGTCTGTACACAGGAGCCACAAAGACCCTGGGTTACAGCTACAGATACAGCTCCAACTGACCTCTGACCCTGAAAGCTGAAAAATGATGACTG